TGGCAACGTTCAGGGCTTTGCAACCTGAGCCGGGAAGGGTAGGGAGCGCTAGGTGGATGGGGAAAGGACATAAAGTGGGCCCAGTACATTTTCTAATGAAAAATATTTGATCTGGCTGGTAGCTCAGCTGGTTAGAATGTCATCTGATATGCCAGAGTTGTGGGTTCTGTCTGGGCGCATACAAGAATCAACCAAAGAATGCATGAAAAAGTGAAACAATAAATCTCTCTCTCTCTCTGTATCTCCCCTTTCCTCTCTCTCTTTAAAGTCAATCAATAAATTAAATGTTTGAGGTTAATTCTAAATAATAGCCAAAGACATAGAAATAATGAGTCAGACCCAAGAGAAAATTGGAGCCAAATTAAGGATCAAATACATGAGGCTGGATGTGAGAAGACAAAATAAAACCATGAAAACTCACAGAGGAAGAAGACAAAAGGGAGACCAGGGAAGCAGGGCTGCATCCTGACCTCCCGGGCCCTAGACACTTTTGCCCTCAGGGGCTCCTTCCTCCATAAAAAAAAAAAAAAAAAAATTGCAATGATATTTTACAACTCTGTTGATGTAAAGATGAATATATTAATATTATATGTTAAAACATTTCTTTTACCTAAAATTTCACTTCTTCTGATTTAAAAAACATTAAGACATTTGCCATGGGCCCAGAAAGGATCATGGGTCCCAGGCACCATCCCTGCCATGCCGTCAGCCCTGAGAGAAAAAACAGAGCTCCAAGGACAAACCACCGGCAGGGGTGGGCTGTGAGCCAGTGTGTGAGGGCAGGTGCCTGCTCACCTTTGTGTCCCTAGCACGGCACCAGGATAAATGAGCTTATTCTCCACATACTCAGTGCACACCTACTCTGTGCCAGGCACTGCGCTAGGTGCTGGGGATACTAAAATAAGTAAGCAAGGTGCTGCCCTTGTCTCCCATGTTGGTTCCAGTGCCAATGGTGTCGTGTCTATTAGGAATCTTTTCAGTTGCGAGGGGAAATCACATACATAAAAGAAAACAGGTTAAGCAAAAAGCATATTAGCTCACATAAATGAAAACATCTCTGGCTAAAGCTGGTTTCCTGCTGGACTGCACATAGGGATCAAGTGATCATAACAAAACAATGAACCTTAAGCTTTCACATGCCCGGCGCAATTCTGAGCATTTTACATGTTTCCATTCATTTAACTCACGACAAACCTACACGGTAGGTAGTATGAGTGTCCATTTTGCCCAGTAGCAAAGTGCGAACTCAACTTCTCTCCATTTCTTGGCTCTGCCTTCCAGTGTGAGGTTTCTTTTCAAGTCCTCACAGTGACCCTGAATTTATTAGAGTTGGTTATTAGAAGAAAATTCACAGGAGTTATGAATAAAGAATCTGCAGGCCTTGAAGATTCATTGGCTGTAGGGATGGGGTGGGGTGGGGGTGAAGGGTCAGGCTTCTGGTTGTGACACTTTCTAATGTGATTACAAAAGAGGATCTTGATGTTTGAGAAAAGATAAATGCAGTTTGGGATTTAGTATGTCAATTAGATATTCAGATGATTGTATTTTTTATTATATCAGGTCATTCTAAAAAGTCACTTAAGAAACTTAAATAGAAAGACAAAATACAACAGGATAAAAAATAAACAGAAGAGGCCCGGCCGGGCGTGGCTCAGCGGTTGAGCATCGACCTGGGATCCAGGCGATCAGGGTTTGATTCCCGGTCAGGGCACATGCCCGGGTTGTGGGCTGCAGCCGATCAATGACATTTCTATCTCTCTCTCTCCCTCTCCTTTCCTCTCTCTGAAATCAACATATATTTAAAAATAAATAAATAAATAAATAAATAAATAAATAAATAAATAAACAGAAGAGGAAATCAGGTTGGAGGGAAGATCATTTCTCCTCAGGAGACCTCTATAATCACTACAACTCCTCCTGGACAGAGGCCCCATGTTGCTATGCTGCCTTATATTTCTCTCATCATAGCACTTACTTAAAACTTTATTACAATTGCCAGTTTAATGAAAGTTCCATGAGGGTGGCCTACCTGTTTGTGTAATAATCCATCTGTCTCCATCACGTAGCACAACAAATGTCAAACGGATGAATGTGTAAATGAAAACTCCTATACAAACCTTATAACTGCCCTTAAAAAAAGAGAATTATCATTCACCAGAAATGAAGCTCAGGTGTCTTTGACTCTGAAGGCCATGCTTTTTCCATGCACCTTTCCACTTCCCTATCTAACATGGATGTGGGTAAACAAAAACAATTCACAAAAGAGTGGCTGAGATTTGGCAATATTTTGCAAGGAATGACCCAACAAACCAGCAATGTTTGGCCTGAGATTGTGGGGGAATTCCTAAATAAGGCAGTCCTGTGTGCCCTACTCTAGTTAGACTCCAAAGATATGCACATCACAGAAATAAAGAAATTTTATTGTGCAGATGTTGCTGAAGGGAGGTCAACCACCACACGTTGGAAACTCTAAAGACAGATTTTGACCTCACTATAAAGGAAAGCTTCCTATCACTCAATGTTGTCCAGAAATATAGTTGTCTGACAGGTAGTGAGCTAGCTCCTTGTCGCTGGGCTTTTTCAGGTGCAGGCCAGGTGAAGACAGGCAGCAGGAGGTGGAGGATGTTAAGTGTTGGTAATGCAGGCGGATTCGGTGGCTTTTGAGTTCCCTTCAGCGCTGAGGATATACGATTCAACTCTCAATAAAGGAAAGTCAAAAGGATCTCCAGCACTTAACCGGGGCAGAAGTTTTCTACCAGGAATGTGTATATCCTTACTCGTGTGGGAGCAATAACACAGCAGAAAATGGGCACACCGATTGGATGTCCTGCCCGTTGTCTTCACCCCATTTCCACTCTTCTGTTCCCTCACACTCTAAGGCCTCGCTTTGGCTCGCCATGTCGCAGGATGGGATATGTTCTGATTAGCTAAGTAAATTATTCTAGGTTACTTAGCAGTTCGACTTCTTAGGGAAATTAGTGACTCCAGCACTCAAGCTGATCCGTGTTTTCTGAGTTTGATGATTGCAGATCAGTCTCTCTCAGCCTAGTCTTGCTGGAAGGCGTAATAAATCTGTGCGTCTGGCCTGAGGAACAGAGAGTCAATCTCTGCATACTGATTGTCCACCAGAGTGCCTCCCCCTTGATTAAAGCAACCATATCAATGCCACATATTTGGCCCTAGATGGTTTGGTTCAGTGGTTAGAGCATCGGCCTGCGGACTGAAGAGTCCCAGGTTTGATTCTGGCCAAGGGCACATCGTACCTCGGTTGCAGGCCCTATCCAGGGCCCTGGGCAGGGCATATGCGAAAGGCCACCAGTCAATGTGTCTCTGTCACTTCGACGCTCCTTCCTTCCTCCCTCCCTCCCTCTCTCTCCCTTCCACTCTCTCTGAAAAGCAAATGGAAGGGTGAGGATTAATAAATAAAAAGAAATGCCACATATCTGGATGACAAGTTGGTACTCTGGGTCAGCATCTCCACTCCCTCTAGTTTATATGAACAATAAACACAGCAGCAATGATAGAGAGTGCAATGTAACAAAAACAACTGTTAAGAAATTAAGTTACCTTTTCAATGTGATTTTTATTATTTGCTGCTGTAAATGTATCAGGAAGAAATAAAAAATATCATCTTCCCTGCTGGAGTGGCTCAGTTGGTTGAGCGTCGCCCTGTGCACCAGAAGGTTGCCAGTTCAATTCCCGGTCAGGGCAGGTGTGGAGGGCAGGGGATCATGTTTCCCTCTCACATCAATGTCTCTCTCTCACACACTCTCTCTCCTTTCCTCCCTCTAAGCATGTCCTCAGGTGAGGGGGTTTTTGGTTTTTTTCAGTGTAATCCTTCCCACCAAAGTTAGCCAAGCCTTTAGGTTGCCAGGGGTCAGGGTCCACACACTGAGCCTTCAGGTGATTCCCAGTGAGCCATCAAGACATTTTATGTGATAAATATGCAGCTGGGCTCTTAATTCTGTATGTGGGTAGAAGGAAGGTAATTGGCTAGATTTCCAAGGACTTGGAAAAAGAACAAGAATTTATTTTTCCTTGGGGATAGAGAGCTGAGCCTGCTCAGACCAGCCCCTCTGCGATGGCATTCCTTGAAAGGAATGGCTGCTGGGAAGCTGATAGTCTTTGCACTAAGATTTGGAAGCCTGAGGAGGAGCCCTGAATTTCTGCAGAAGGACCAGAGCTACTGTAGAGCTGCTCTCCATTGAAGGATCTCTGGTTGGGGACAAGGAGCTGGACAGGCAGACCCCAGGGTTGTTAGATGAGGCATCAGCCAGGACACTGGTTCCCCAACAGTGACATCATGTGGTCTCAAGGAGCAATAGCAGCTGAGACACCCAAAGTGAGAGGCAGGGAGATGGTGTGATTTTAAATTCCATGTTCTCATCTAAAGTGCTCCCCTTCCCTATCGTTGTCTGTATGCACCCTCCTTGTTTTCTCCAGAGCCCATAAGCAGAAGGCTCCTCTAGTTCCTATGTGTACTTGTTTTTGTCTGGCTTAGACATTTACTTGTTTATCACCTGACTCCCCCTACTAGGTCCACGAAGGCAGGGATCTTGTCTTTCTTTGGTGCTACTGTAGTCCACGAAGGCAGGGATCTTGTCTTTCTTTGGTGCTACTGTATCCTCTTAAAATAGTGCCTGGCAGATACTCAGAGCTCAGTAAATATTTTTGGAGTGGGTGAATGAATTATATAGCCAAAATTAACTAGGTTCCAGGCACTGTGCTAGGCACGTATGTCATGCAACGCTCACATCAGCCCAGTAGGGGCTACCATTATCCCATTTTATAGACGAGGGAACTGAGAAAATAAATTAACCACTGAGCTTATTGCCCCTCACCATTCCTGTTTTCCATGCCACTATTTACCTTTTCAAGAGCACTTCCTTAAACATCCTACTCTTTCCCTCCTTCAGGTTAAGTTGTGTTTCTTTCCTCTCAAAATAATCTCACTATCACTGCACTAACATCATTCATCATAATTATATGTTTGTATCTCCCTAAACTCTGAAGTCCTTGGAGGCCTCAGAAAGGTTTGTCATCTTGGTTTTCACAAGTTCTAGCACAGAGCCTGGAACACAGTAGGTACTCAAAAACATTTTCATAGGACAAGAACTGAGTGAATGGGTGGGTGACCATGCTCCCATCCCTAGCCAGTCCCTCCCGTTTCTCACTTCTGTGATGGTCTGGCTTCACCAGGCCCTATTGGTATGGGAAATACCAAAATGAGTAAAACAGTTCCTACTGCTGGGAGCAAGCAAGAGAAGCCTCTGGCCCTGAAACAGGTGTAACTTGCTGAGTTTTACAGGACAGTTAAGATGAGTGAGAGCATATAGCTCAGTGCAATGTAGTAGAATGAAGGGAAGTGGCCAAAAGGTGAGGCTACAGCCTGGCCGGTGTGGCTCAGTTGGTTGGGTGTCGTCCCATGCACCAGGAGGTCACCAGTTCGCTTCCTGGTCAGGAGAAATGCCTGGGTTGTGGGCTCGATCCCTGGTGGGGACCGTGCAGGAGGCAGCTGATCAATGTTTCTCTCCCATCGATGTTTCTATCTCTCTCTCTCTGTCTCCCTTCCTCTCTCTGAAATCAATAAAAACATATTTTTTAAAAAAGAGGTGAGGCTACAAAAGGTTATATAAAGATGTTGAAGGTAATGGTAAAGAGTGTGGACTTTATTCTAAGGTGACGGGGAGCCACTGAAGGGTCTGAATCAGGAAGGTGATGGGATCAGATTGGGAGTTCATATAATGTGAATGTCAGGTAAAAGATAAGGCCTGACATAGAACAGTGGCCATGCGTATTAAGAAAAGTGGACAGGCCCTGGCTGGTGTGGCTCAGTTGGTTGAGCACTGTTCCGTGCACCTAGAGGTCACCGGTTCAATTCCTGGCCGGGGCACATGCTGGGGTTGTGGGCTCAATCCCCAGTAGGGGGCGTGCAGGAGGCAGCCGATCAATGTTTCTGCCTCTCCCTCTTCCTTCCTCTCTCTAAAATCAATAAAATATATTTTTAAACAGGGTGGAATGGGTCATTGGGGAGAAAAAGGGACATCTGTAATATTTTAAACAAAAATAAAATTTAAAAAATAAAAATAAAATAAAATCAATAAAATATATTTTTGAAAAAGAAAAAGAAAAGTGGACAGGATGCAGAGGTCAAAGCAACAGGATAACTGTTTCCATGTGCTAGGGGAGTGTGAGAGGAAGAGTCTGCCAGATTTCTGTGTGGGAGGTGGCACCACTCACCGGTAAAGAAAACACAAGAGCAGGAGCAATTTTGAATAATATATAATAAGTGCTCAATAAAGAGTGTAGAATTGAAAATGAGCTTAATTAAAGGTAGAAGACAGATTAAACACATTGAATTTGCAGTGCTTCTCAGCTCAAGGCAGAGGGATGTATGTGGCTGGTAGAAGCGAATGTTACCTGGGGAGTCCCCAGAATGAGAAGAGGGCTGAGGCACGATCCCGGGACACCCAACTCTCAGGAGGTGGCGGAAGAAGAGACCGAGAGGAAAACCACGAGGTGACGTTTATTGAGCACCTACAGCCAGGGACTTCTCTGGATGTGTCCCCTTGAAGAAAGCACTTAAGGAGCAAGCGGCCGGCAGGCTATTTCTTTGTGCCACCGGAGGAGAGCCCGGGGTTCGGTGGAAGCTGGAGAGCTCACACAACGGTCTGTGGGCAACTGAAGCCACACCCCTGGTTCCCCCTCAGTCTGGCACCGCCGGCGCCCTTCCCCTT